AAGAGTGAGGAGCGAGAGAGAGAGAGAGAGAGAGAGAGAGGAGAGAGAGGAGAGAGAGAGAGAGAGAGGAGAGAGAGAGAGAGAGAGAGAGAGAGAGAGAAGAGAAGGAAGTAACTAAGGGAACCGCATATCCTTTGGCTATAAAACTCCCTAAATGAGGAGAATGAACACCCATGAATCGTTTTCCAAGGTCCTGCCTTGAAAAGAGATTGATGAGCTGCTAGTGTCTAACCCTAATTTATAAATAGAAAAAGTTGAGGGTCAAGTTGATAACCATGACATACACCACGCCTCACAATTTTTAGTCATTTAGAGCAATTTGCTTCTTTTTCAATATCGTGGGGAAATGACCTAGCGACCGATCATGAAGTTCCTGACGTACTCCGCAGACTTGCTTCCTGAGGCATCTTTTCGATTTGAGGATCACGTGCCTTTGATAGCGTGCTTCTCATCGAGCCACAGTAACAGAGGTCGAGTACTTACTGTTAGTGAAATGATAACATATCTGTCCTTTGTGATTTATGAGGTTTTGATGTTGATGGCACATGACCTGCAGCTAGCTTCGCGGCAGTGGTCTCACGTTTTTCAATCTGGCACTTATACCGAAGCGCATCAAGACGTATGAGATACATTTCACGCAAGTTTGCAATTAAATTAGACTTATGAAAACTCAATATACAGCTTTCATTCTATAGAAATTCGTTATTGCTAGGCATACATAGCTTGTGTTTTCTCCCTTCCCAGTTATCTTATTTCCTCCTCATCCTCTAATTCCATCCCACTGTCTTCTGTCTCCCCTCTGAGAACAGTCACCCGGCATCCAGCCCCTGTATCGCCCCCTCTCCGGCGCCCTGACCGACCGGTCGGCCGTTTTTGCATACATTGAGCAACAGAAAGACTTCGGCAAAGGCGACCGCAGCGAGCGTTTTTGTGGTGCCGCCTTGTGCGTGGTTCAAAGGGGTATTGCAAAGAGCGATGAGATGCTAGCCTAAGCCGTTTTGTCTCATCACGTTATGATACGGCGTGTAACTCGTAGTCTCACAACGGGTCAAGCATAAACAGACGTCACACGTTATAAACACCGTTTCTGGGATGTTGAAAGGGTTCATCGACAAATCAAATGTTTCATCGACGCCACTAACCTAACTAACATAGCAATAAAAAACAAGATAGCTTTTATCCGGTGTCAATGACAGTTGGCACGGCCTGCATTAGAATCATCCGGCACTATACCTTTGCTAGGTGCATAGGAAGAGGAACAAACCAGGTAAATAGGGGTATTTGTGTTAAGGTCGCATATTTCCAGATTACTTATCACAAGGAGAAGCGCAGTTTTTGCGATGTTAGTTCCAAACAAAGCGATTTTGTTTCAACCTTGCCGCATTTCTGCCCAATTTATGTAACACCAGCAGTAAGCGCTGCTTCTGTCCGGTGTCTAGCCATGTGCCGGGGCCATAACTGGGTCATTGGGTGAAGGCCTGCTCTGCCTCACGCCGGCACTTGGCGGCTTCGTTATTAAAAACACACGAGACGTGTCGCTTTTGTCAACCAGCAAGGAAGATAACGGACACGTCGCTTCAGAGGACGTCATGGCAGGCATGCGCCAGATTTCAGTAAGACTGTTGTTCAACAAGTGTTACCGGCTTTTCTGAGAGGTTAATGTACAGATTCATCCATTCACCGCCAACAACTCAGCCTTGTTCCCAGGGTCGCAGTTCAGCCAAACAGACTGTGCTGGTGCTACCAAGCAAAAAAAGGAACGCATCGAAAATATTTTAATGAATAGTGATTTGTCATTTATTATGTCATGATAAAAAAGATCAGCAAATTTACCATATTTAAAATATATTAGACACCTTAAATTGTTCATTTATCGTTCGTTATTAATCACTGAGCATGATTTGTTAACATGCGTATTGCGTATTTCAATATTGCATGTTTGTTTGATGAAAGACGCAAGTCGCAAGCGTATGTCTATCGGCCTTTCTCCGCTTCATCCATATTGGCTGTGCACCCCTTGTGATGTCACTAACCTGATGAAAGCATGTACCCCTTTGTGGCGTCACTAGCCTGTTGAAAGCGTGTACCCCTTGTGACGTCACTAACCTGATGACGGCGGCACAGACGATGACGATGAGGATGGCGAGCAGAAGGGCGACCACGATACCGACGATGATGGAGATTTTCTCCTGGCTCTCTGTGGGACGGAGGGGGATGGCGTCACACGGGAACACAAGTAGCATCAAGCAGAGCGGATGACGTTTTTAAATCGAGTAACATTTCTGATAGTTGAATAAAACATTCTTATGAATAAAAGGTAGCCACAAAACAAAACTTCTAAAAACTGAACTTCGTTAGACGATAGGCGTTATCACAAGTGTATTCGCGGCCATTGGGGCGACGTAAGAATATATAATATCACACGGGGCCGGTAAAATGTTTCATTCAGGACCGAGGGATTTGTTGAGTTTTCCGCACGAGACCGAAGGTCGAGGGCGGAAAATTCAACAAAGCCCGAGGTCCTGAATGAAACATTCCGGCCCAAGTGTGATATTTATTTTAGCATATGCCGTTTAATTTCCATATTTAAGCTTCTTTAACAATTTTACATTCTTGAAAGAAGTGGAAAAACCAAGACCGAATATCAAGAACTAAAAAATGTACATATTCCCTGACCAAGATAATAAACCAAGCCGACTCATCCTTGTGTCTGGCTGTGAGTTGGATTCCTATCAAACCAAGAACATCTACTTCAATCTATGTCATATGAGAAGCTAGAGTAACGTTCGTTTTCAATATTAGAGGAGAGTGGAAGGTATACCTACAATCCTGTGAAGTGAGCGCTTGGTTTTCTACCCATGTCAATATGAATAAAGTTTTTACTGATCAATGTGAAATGCGTTTTTTTTTTTTGTCAATTCATTACACTTGTAAAAGGCATGAACTTGGCGCTACACTGTAGCGCCAATTAATCACCTACTGTAGCGGCTACAGTAGGTGATTAATTAATCTGTCAGTACATTAAGATTTTAAAATATTATCTTATTGAAAACCAACATTTACAATCTCTTCAATAGTTCGAAGCGACCAAATGCAACACGTCAGTTAACGTTAGATTTATATCAGTTAAGCTCTTTTCCAGCGCCTTCCTCCGTCTCAGGAAATGCTTCAAAAGTTCGCTGGTAAAATGTTTTGCCCATGGGCCGAAACCTTTGCTCAATTGACTTCAACATTATGCGGTTTAATCCAAAAAGCTTTTACCGCACGCTCGCGCTAATGCTAAAGACATACTCCGGCATATGCTAAAAGAAGAAAACAACTGGCCCCAAGAACTTTAAATTATCAGTTAGCATGCACCTTTTCCTTGATGTGTAGAGAATTTACCATAAATTGTTAGAGAAAATTACATTTAATATCTTCCATTTATGCTTTTTTCATCGTTTGCACAATGTGCTCTTTTACTTAGCTAGAAACACTAATTAGAAATAGTTCCCGCATCCGTCAAGAACAATAGGGAAGGCTTGAATTTAATACAATAATCTAAACGGTTTTGTAATCTATGTGAAGACACTTCTAAAATTGCCTGTAGAAATATTGAAGGCAAAAAGTCAACTTCTTCACAAGACTGATGTCTATAAACCTATTCAACGTGTGACAACTCAGCCGGTATTTCGTCGCCTACAGCCCAGCTTTCCCTAGTGACCGATAGAGGCGCTGCTATCGATGTCCGCCCGTGCCGCCTAACGAAGAACAATTATGATCAACCGGATACACAACGAAAGGATAGCGGGCAAATCTTTGTCAGTATTCAGACATATTCTTACCTTCCTCCTTTCCGAGTTCCCCTGGCCACGGTTCGTCTGGTTCTGAAACAAAAAGAAACCCTTTGTCAGCATTAGAAAGATAATGTATGCCTATATTCTAACTGCAGATCCACAGGTATGTGCGTGACGCTTGTCGAAGCAATTGTCCAAATGGATATATAGCAATAATCATAATTCATTTTCAACGATTTAAAGCGGTAGGCTTTAGTAATGGTCAAATGAAGCCAGTAAAAAGACATCAGTAACCGTAAGCGTTTCCAGTGCATCATTTCATCTGAGATACAGCTAGGTATGGGCGCATTTTATGATAAAACAAGTACGGAAAATGAGAGTCATCCCTGACATGAGAGATAACTGTTGACACTAGGATATGAGATAAGGCTGCTCTTGAGAGGCTGACCGAACGAGAACTCCGGCTGGCAAACACCACAAAAACAGCGATCTGGTCGACTTTGCTGTCTAGAGCAAATCTCGGTCTGGAGGGTAAGGACACCTAACTGTAATATTTTGTGTGAATCATGCGTCATTCAGTAAAACATCTTCTTCTACATACACCGTTATTTGCATAATTTGTTAGAAAAACTAAGCTGTTGTGGATTTTAGGATGTATGCTTGTTCCGACAGGCAATTAATGCTAATCCTCGTGAGATTCTAAAAAAGACTGAGATTGGTTGAAAATCGTGAGCGGGGGGAGGACTGAGGAGAGGGGTATGACTTGATCAAACAGCATCACAGCACATGTTCTTCTGACGTCTGCAAATACTGGCTTTTATTGAAAAGTTTAAAAATACGTTTTACAAATATATCAAACATTTCAAATTAAAAATAGAGTCCTCATAAAAGCGGGGTGTCCGCACGCTCATCACATAGTTCGTAAATGTCTGACAAAAGTGAAAAAGCAGCAGTACTTTCTATTTTATTTTGAATAACAAATATTGTTATGGCATGGCTCAGTGTCGTATAAGCATTGTGATGGGGATATACCTAGGACCTCCCGGTCCTCGCTGACCTGTTGTCGCGTTGGTGTGGTGCAGGTGCGGATCGAGGGTCGGGGAGAGTTCCCAGTCCCCACTGACCTGTTGTCGCGTTGGTGTGGTGCAGGTAGGGCTCGAGGGTCGGCGAGTCGCCGATGATCTCCTCCTCATGAGTCTCCAGACCTGAGTTGGGTCTCGGAGCCATGGCTGGAGTGAGAACTGAAACAGCAGAGACACCACGTTAGAACGAACGGCCGGGTATAGCTGACACAGATGACGTCATATGGAGGCCGATCGGTGACATTGCGGGGCTTATCGGCGCTATGAGTGGGTTCTACAGACATCAGGTATTGTTCAGGAGTGTGTCAACTGTACTGCACTGACATTGCGACACACATGAACGATAAGGAAGTCACAGCGATAGAGCGGTTAGTATCGCAGCTCTGGCATTATTGGATTTTACGTGTAATCGAGAAACTCTGTTGAGGATGGTCCTCTCGATTGTTCTCTAAAAGACACTGGTATACAACAAGTACCTATTCCCGCAAAAAGTTTTTCCATGTGTAACAGTTCAAATCTGTAGCTGTTTCGATATTCTGCATTTTTTTTTTTCGTTTTTAGTGTTCAAATATGCTGAAGCAGCTTACTCTCAATACCCGTCGGAAACACTAAGCAGCTTCTAATGCCATCATCTCAACGGAAACGCAGCCGCACCCCGATCTGGCCCCGGCCGAAACACCTGTGGTTGAACCGCTTCCGGTGACACGCCGAGTGCGGTTAGACGGTCCACATTTAGAGCGCTGAGCTGCTGGTCGACACAGGTGTGCCGGTAATCCCTAAACGGTGTCTGTGCTCCGGGTGGGTGGCTCTAAATACCAGTCAGACGCACCAGAGGAGCAGACGTTTGATCTCGCTGCCTCCGAGACAGGCATTGTTCCAATACAAAAGATACCTATAATATGTTTAAGACAGTTGACAATCCAGCTTGTTTTGCATGATCAATACTTTGAAGAGGCTGAGCAGATTGCTAATTTCAACTTCCAGATTGTTTGAAGATAATGCCGTGTGGACAACGACTCTTACCATGACAATATTCATTCTCATTTGACTTAAGATTAGGGGTGACGCTTTGTGAAATGGTATCAGTGCATTGTATCCATTGCAACCAAACTTATATGTGGATTAGGATAAGATTGCTATCAAATCCCATGGTATGATCGTATCGCTTTGTCAAGGTAGCTAAGTAGCAAGGTCACTCCGGTGTGTCCTTGCTAGGACATTCCTATATGTGGCCTTGCTGTTGCAATGCCGCGATATCGAGCGCATAGCATCTATATCCTAACCAGCTCACTTTCCGGGGCGTCTGTCGTTACACTCTGTCTTCCTCACCTCTCAGCAGCGGGTTGAAGGCCAGCGAGACACTCTGTCCCGGAGGATTGAACGCCAGTCGGGTGTCAGCCGGCGGATTGAAGGGGAGCGCGACCACCTGACGGGGAGGCGCCATATTTACAGGCGTCCTGCACTCGAGAGGGACCACCCACGAGCGCTGGCTGACCGCTGACCGCTGATCGCTGACTGCTGACCGCTGACCGCCACAGTCCACTGAAGCTAGCTGATCACTACCCGCCGATCGCCGATGGACACCTCAATCGTCATGCGATATTGGAGAAGTGAATCCGTCGTCAGAATCACGAGGGCCGTTTTCCCGTCACGGCTTATCTCACCAACTCTGGCGTAGGTGTTCTCGGAACTTCTGTGTAAATCGATGCAGTGGCTTCTGCTCCCGGATCCGGTAGACCGGTTAGCGGACCTCTAAACAAAGATTTGACTACTGTTTCTGTGAATAATCCCGTCGTTCCGTGTTTGCATCGCCCGGAACCAGATCAAGTACCTGGCAATTAGACTTGGGAGAATCCCAGAACGAGCACACAAAAGGTCCCAGGGGACGAATCGTTGAGCTCTGGAGATTGCTTTTTACAGCAGTCTTTACTCGCGCACTTTTCTGAAACTCGGCGCCGCACTTCAGTTTGAAACTTCAGCGGCAGTGCTTTTCACTAGACGCCTCTGAACGTTTCACGCTGCAAATCACAATCCCTCATTTTCAAGGGCACACGCACACACTCACACACTTCTTCACGCACACGCGCGCAGTCACGCTTCACACTCGCTTCGCCAATGCACTGCAGGTGTCTCCTTGTCTCCTAATGTCACTGCGTCTCCGGGGCCGTGTTGTCTCCGTCTCCCGAACAGCCTAACTGCCGCCCTTCCGGGTGTCCAGGTGTGTCCTTCCGCAGTACCAGAGGCTTCGGAGCAGCCCCGCCCAGCCCTCGGCGGGCAATTAGAGCGGCCCTGAACGTCACCACCTCTCCCCGGGCTACTGAACGGCTACCGAACGGTTACCGAACGGTTACCGAGTGGTTACCGAGTGGTTACCGAACGGCTATCGAACGGTTACCTGGCTACCGAACGGTTACCGAACGGTTATCTGGCTACCGGATGGTTACCTGGATACCGAATGGTTACGGGCCGGTGACCAAATTGTTACAGAATGGTTACCGAACGGTTACCCAACGGCTACCGAACGGCTACCTGGCTACCGAATGGCTACGGGCCGGTTACCGGACTTCTTCTATTAACCGCAGTCTGTGGGATGAGTAACCGGTCGCTGATGTAGCGAGGAACTTCCTGAGTTCAATCAAATGAGATGATTGGCCACCTGGTCAAGAACTTCCTCAATTCCTCAGCTCGGTCGTCACTACTGGTTCTCCTCCTATGTCTCTCACTCCCATCGCTCTCACTCTCTCCGCAGCAGCTCTCACACCGCGCCACTCTGTCCCTCTGTCTGATCGCCATCATCGTCAGCTCCCCCAGCCCGTCACGTGACACATAAGATCGCTATCTTATCATTACGACCTCGCCACGAAGATCGGACCGATCCCGCGAACACGATCAGCTGATCAAAGATAAGGGGGCACTTATACTGCGCCGCTGAGGGCAGGAGGGTACACATATTTGAACAGTATAAGGAGGTATTTGTCGAACGAGGAGTTTGGAGGGTCATGTCCATCGAGAAATATTTGGTTAGTGTCAGGGTATTTGATTGGAGGAGCTGGGACATTCCAGGCTTGATGAGCCAAGCTAACTATTTTGTCATTTTTAAGTTATTGAATGACGGCAGCTAAGGAAGAAATTGCATTACTTGTGTGATCTTTCTAAAAAAGCGCGACAATGCCGTTGTGTGGAAGACTAGCAATAGACAATGGGGATACCTTTATTGATTTCGTTCCACCTTTTAATGTCCGAGATAATCTCCTTCATCACCATCAAGTTGCTCTCCCCAGACGCCACCACTCTGCCAACTCCCTCCGTTCCCTCTGCCGCCCCACGCTGCAGCAGCCTCACACGTCTCAGTTGACCCGGGGTCAAGGTCGATTGCACGCACAGCTGGGCGGCGTCGGTGCGCGTCCCCCCCCCCTCCCAGAGAGGGGAGCAAGATGATGGGTTGTTACCAGACTGACACGGGATGGGAGGTTCAGGGTTAATTGTGCACTAAATTGCACCACACAGAAGGAGAAGACGGTTACGAGAAGGAAGATTAGGTAAACCGCCACAGAGCGCTGCTAGGCGTTGCTAGGTTTTGAAGAAGATCGACAAATATCCCGACGAAGCGCTTGTGTTAGGATAAGAAATTGCAAGAGATGTCTAGGCGTAAAGTTGCATGATGTGAGGTGAGTGTGGGGTTCGCACGAACTACCGGTCGTGGAAGGCCCACGAGTGATTTATGTTGAACTAACTCGCACTTTGTCGAGTCATCTGTCGCATCAAACGATAAGATACCTTCTCTGTCTCCATATCTACCAAATTCCCACCCCCACACACACTGCCAGGGCTATCGACCTGTAAAAACCACTGATATCATTCTACTCTGATCTCCCTCGCTGGCCGATAGTCTCCGTACATTCGACCATCGAGAGTCTGCGGTGACCGTCGTGTCGGCACATACGGATCGATATCGGTGGTCTCGCGGTCACTATCGGGCCCACTCGACCGAGACCGCTCTATCGCGCTGATGGGGAGGGGAGGGGTATCTGTGGTTGACACAGGGGCGGAGCCAGGGAAGGTGAGAAGGAGAGTGAAGTTATGAAGGTTCGTTGAATTATATGCACGGGCATATTGGACCTTATTGTGGGGGACGGCGATGTACTTTTGATGTAATTACATGCATCGCAAGAATATAGGTGAATTTTATTGAATCAAATGAAGTTATTACAAAAATTAAAACCTTTTTCTAATAAATTACAAACGTGTCTCTCTACCCCTCTGCTGCCTGTCCTGGACACGCCCCTGTCACCACGTGTGAAACCTCACGAGTCCGATGATCACCGAGCCCGGACAGTTTCACCTCACACGGTCCCTCGCTGACTCCACAGTCGGTTTCTCCTGCCGCTCATTACGCTAATGGCACCCATCAGGGACAATTAGCCGTCCGGGAGAGTCTACTGGACGATTACAGGTGTATTAGGCGCTGTACGGAATGTGAAGAACTTGAAATTGGGAAGAGAGGAAATTCGCGAGACATTTACATTTATAAGCGAAGCGACGGCAATGAAATGTTACGTTCTATACTTGTTCATGATAATAGGTGTTGCAACACTGGGCGGATAATAAAAATAAGAGTGTCTTCGTTCCACCACTATGTATAGTGCCAAACGCAAAATAAATCCGAAAGCCAGTGCATGGAAGGTAAGAAATGCAGCGTAGAAAATACGTGAGCTAACACGAAGTGATGCCAATGTTTTATGTGTTCCATCGAAAACCCGTGCAAAGAACGAAACCAACAACGTTCCGGTGACGTCATAGACAGAGACATCCGCCTGTGGTCTGTGGTTTCTGTGTTGTATGTGATCTGTGCTGCATACGTTATCTGTGGTCCGTGTCGTCTCCGCACTGTTTGTGACCCGTGGCTTCTGCGTCGCCTTTCGGTCATATCCGATATCCGTCGCGCGGTGTTCCGGCTAATTATATCTTGCTTCACCGCACACATAAGGTGGAACTACCCAGAAATTGAGGTAGATATGGCTGATTTATATCGCTGTGATCACAGAAAATTGATGGTGGCTTTGACCTCACTGGTGAAAACTACTTACGGCTGAGTAAATTGGGCGAAAGAGTGGCAGCGGAGGTGCTGATACTGCGACACTCGATAGACTTTCGCTGAGTGACACATGCGTGAGGAAGAGGGAAGGCATGAACAGCGGAGGCAAGTTATCTGTGTTATCCTAGAGTGAGTTTAAAAATAAACACCAGTACCTACTAAAGTGCAAGTATAAACCATAAAGCACCCTCTTATCGCATCAGCCAATACAATATTTGCCCAAGACCACTTAAAAGGTCACCTTGAGTTCTTCAATTAACTGTCTGCCATGAAGACCGTTAATCAAGCCAGGAGTTTTACCAAAAGTGTAACTAATTTACCGGCAGATATAGCCCGAAATGCTATGACGCTGAAATATATCTGTCACCGTCATAGAGGTCGACTATTTTGTCTTTTGAAAGTAATGAGTTTACTCAAGGGCATCTGATTCGCGACCCAATCTGGGCCAATTTTCCATTTAATCGGTCGGCACATTGATCGAACTGGTCCAAGGCTGAGCCGTTTTAACTGGATGCCTAGGCTTTTTGTAACAATGGAAGATTTATTTGTACAGACCTGAACTAATCAGATCGCTATGTAATGGAAACACAGTAAATGGTCATCTCAAGTCATTCATTATCAATCTTGTGGCGAAATACGTGTTACATAAATCTTAAAGTAGCGGGACATCAGCCATCAGCATTTTTATTATAGAACATTTCATAGACATCTTATTATCATCACGCGTTTTGTTTCTATAAACTTTACAGCTTTCAGCGGTTTCAGTTAATAAGAGATTCCCTGCCAACAGATTGTCTAGCACAGCCCATCCCCCCCTCTCTCTCTCTCTCTCTCTCTCTCTCTCTCTCTCTCTCTCTCTCTCTCTCTCTCTCTCTCTCTCTCTCTCTCTCTCTCTCCCTTCTCGCCTTTTCCAATTTTCAATGAATCCCTGCTGCAACTGGTTGCATTGCTGGCCGTCTTTTTGCTAACCCGTTTTCTAATTAACCCCCTTCCCTTGCGGCTGAGGACCTCTCCCCTCCCCTCCTCTGTGACGCACTGCGCGACATTGACCCAAATTAGACCCTGAACGCGCACCGCTGGCCATCAAAAGACGAGCGCATCCTCGCGTAAAAGACGCAGCGATGGTGACGGAAAGTGCTGCTGAGTGAGAGGAGAGCCGACGGAGGCGTAAGGTCAAATAGGTTAGCGACGACTGACAGAATCGACTGAAAGACCACTCAATAAACCTTGGGAGGATAGGACATTGTGCGCGCCTTGATGAAGGAAGCACTATTCATGAGATAGCAAAAACACAAGTCAACAGTGACTTCAGTAAATCGATATTCTCGGAGCAAATATCAAGTAGACCTGTGATTTCTTCCGTAATTCATGCACGTGTCAGCAAAGTTTGTTTTGCAGCCGGAGATGTGCTTTGACAACTCATGATCTCACACACGTCGGTTTGACATTGGACCTTCTGGAGGTCAGTTCCGGATAGTTTTGTCACCACGGCATTAATTATAATTTGACAATTGCTGCTCAAATAAAAAAATGTGGATCTCTCGCAACTGTTGGTAAACTATGGAATACAATCCTTTAAAAAAAAAACATGGGAGGAAGAACGAAGGGGAAGTAGGTATTCAAAATAAAACATGTACCGCCGCTTCATCTGACCTGGGCTGAAATGGATGTAGCGTATTGCACAGTGTGCAGTGTGCACACTAGAAATGCACGGCGGTATGCACTGTGCACACTGTCACCCTCATAGCAGACTAGGTTAGCAGGTCGTCCTGGCAGGGCGGTAAATGGTGATGCTGCCACCACCTTCCCGTAGCCCGAGGGGACTCGAAATGACTTCCCTCTGCAGCCGCGCTATAAACGGTTCATGGCTGACCTTCAGACACCGTGAAGGTGTGTGGAGCCGAGAAACGGAAGGAGTTTGTCTCCATCCGTTTTCTGACTCTTCAATACTGTCAGCGCATCTTCAGGTTACATAGATGCATTGCATTTTCCTTGCAATATTCCGTGCATGCATTTTATGTTGTACTTTACAGGTAGTTAATTGCACTCTGTGGGAGTAAAAGGAAGAACCAAGCACTTCCTGTCCCAAACTACCTGATATTGTAAACAAGGTCATATTTTGCAGACGGCCAATTATCATACGTGGATCGTGGGCTCAGAAGCGATGGAGCGTGCTTCATGTTATCTATGGTCTCAAGTTAGGCCCTACAAATATATATAAACAATGCAAATCGATTCCAAGGCAAAATACCGCGAAACATGCAGAGGCCTATTGTGTGGTTTTGTTTGTTTGGAGCTACGCATTTTACGATTGTATGGGAAGTGCTTCCGCCAGCCTAGTGGCTATAATGTTCTCCATAAACAGTTCACCGCGTCCTACCAAGGTCCTCGAACGGGATGGAGCACCTCTTCCGGAATCCAGACTCGTCTACGACCTACCCGACAGCGAAAATAGCAGCACTCTACTGTCCGACGCCCGGAGAAAACTGACGCGTAAGGAAGGCAGGCGAGAGACAACGGGACACGATACTATCAGGGATAAACAAATTGGGACAGCACTACTTCGGTGAGGAAGTGATCGTGGAAATGCAAAAAGAAAAAAGCGAATGAGGTATATTGGATCTGAAGTCAAGTATTGAAAAGCAAAAGCAAGCGGAATTCGGAACATGCGAGATAGACTATTGGGCGCAACGGAATTGGGTGCACTAGAAACATATTACATATCAGTGTAGGTAATCATGTTTAAAAATGCAAGCATTTGAGACACTTGACTTATATAACCAAGGAATCTTAAGCTGTTCCACTCGACCACTTCAAGGCATTCACAGCTTTCAGAGAGGTGACAAATATCCCCGATAGTTATCTAACGGCCCAAGACAGACGTCTGCTGTCAGGTGACAGGTTTGGCAGACGTGACAGGTTTGTCAGATGACAGTCTTGGCAGGTGTGACAGGTGTGGGAGAGAGCCCTCAATGACGGACGGAAGCACGCATACGGCTGGAAGGTCACACGAGAGCCTTCTCTGGCGCTTCAAACAGGCGCACGCTTCTCCCTAAAACTGTTCAAATACCGGAAGCCCGAGAGGTGACTTCGGAATGTCATATCAGACAAGGACATTTGATACATCTGCGGGGGAAGAAAGAAATTTGAAATGCAGGAGGAGGCTTAGGTCCAATGCGAATATGTCGACATATAGTTTCCATAACACTAGAGTTCGGATGCATTGATTTGTCAAATATGTTCTTGGCTATGCATCGAATCAGTATCTTTCCAAAATCCTCTCCTATCTCGCAATATTGAATGTGTTTCTGCAGCGTTTCGTCCTCCCAGAACGTCTTGTACCTACGACGTTGGAAGATTCGGAGGCCATTCCTCCTACGTTGTAATTCTGCTTTTAGCGAAAAGCCAGCAATGCCAGCATGTCTAAAAAGGGTCAAATCCCCACTTTACGTAAAGGAGCGAGGAGATAAGACATTACGGATGTAGGAGCCAGTCCGCTTTATGTAGATCCGAGCCGCACTTTGACGAATGCAAATCCACCGATTTGTCCTTGGCCTTGCATCGCATTTGAGTGAAATTAAAGCCGCACCTGACAGTGCGGACTGCACGCTCGCGTGGTCATGCACGTTCTGCAACTGCAGGGCAGTAGTTGCAACGCTGATGTCAGGCGATCTATGATCTCTAAGGGGCCTATCATTATCGGCACAGTCCGACAGAAAAGCTCCACCAGCAGTTCTTTTGCGCTGAACATGTGAATTCAAACCAGAATGCGCCCCTTACTCACGCATTACATGTTGTCTGAGTCCCAACTATCTCCAAATCATTGCCCGGTCACGTGTTTCAAATTCAGGGTCATGCGAGTTGAACGCAGCGTCTACCGTCTGGTCACGTGCTATCAGGCAGTCGGATCACGTGAGGACACCCTGGCATTAAATCGGTGGGCGGACGGACGGCCTTCGAGCAAATGGGGGTCGTTTGCCTCCTGTGGAAGACATAGCGGCAGACGCGTAGAGCAGGATGCGTGGATGGGACCGGCCGCGGGTCAGAGAACAGGGGTCAGAGGCCAGAGGTTAACAGTCAGGGTCAGCTGCCAAACCGTCACCGGTTGCCATGGAAACCATAGCTCGTATATGCGTGCTGATGGCGTGACGTGTTCTCGCATACCGCAGAAAGACAAACAGGCCTCGTGAAAGATGAGGTTGTTCTAAGCAAATGTAAAGATTCTGCTAGTGGAGAAAACCAGCCAGGTGAAAGCCGCCGCAAAATTCGGGCCTATTACTGGGAATTTTCCAGTGACGTCATGACGTCACTCTCCCACTCTACTTCCGGGCTTCCTCGGTCGATATTGGGAGTCGTTTGCGACACGTCGATTTCTCCCGCCCTCATCGGTCCTGCTACGTCACCATCAACAACACGAGGCGGAAGCGACAGTGGAAGTGTTTGCGGCCACGGACCTTCGCAGGACAATGGTGTATCGAAGCGAGAGGGACGCTGTATGGCACTGATCGATTATCATGACCAGCACGCAGCGAGGAAGGAACAACACAGGGGTGATTTACTGTGAAAGGCACGTGGTAGGAATGCGAAAAGTAAACATGTGCAAGACTGATTGAAGAACATTGCAAACAGGGGAACGTCCGGGAACGTCAAGTTCTTGCTAGCCAATGCCGTAAAACACTCGTCGCTGACCAAGCTTTGACCGTGCTCCTGGTCATGGTGTAAAAATATTAGCACCAAGTCGTCATCAGAACACTCGAGAGCAGCGACTGATGGCCAGACGAAATCAGGTCATGGGCTAGTTCACCAGCCAAGGTGAACTTGTTGACGGTATATCGTCTATCGAGGTGCTGATATCAGATGCTGGCAGACTGCCCATGTCCGTATCTGATGCAGAAAAGGCCATGGCGTACACAGCTGAATTTCGCTCATAAGTACCAGTAAAACGCCTTTTGGGCGAAGAACGAGCGAGTGAGATAGTGAGCCCTGCACGTGCGGAAGGGCGAGAGGGTACTTCCAACGGGCTTGCGCAAAGCACCCTTCTAAACAGTCGCTAGCGGTGTACCAAATTTGAACGCAATCGGCCCAGCCGTTCCTGAGATCTGGAAGCGACATTCTGCACGTGCGCACGTGCAAACGGGGTCCAAACTGACTTTTGCACGGCACCCTACTAACTGGTCCCCAACCGTGTACCAAATTTGAGCGCAATCGGCCCAGCCGTTCTCGAGATCTGGAAGCGCCCCCTGCACGTGCGCACGTGCAGTAGCACCTTAACCGCAACACATGGGAATGCATTGTCTGGTGGGTGCCTACCTGTTTGCCAAGTTTCAGCGAAATCGCCCCAGTAATTACCGAGTTATTAAAATGGGAACAAATTTGACACCTCTTATTGTTGTATTTTGCACGTGCACTGGGGGTGACACACATGCATCGGGGGTATCCTTTTTTTGTTAGAAGGGATGCTGTTACCCTACAAAAATTACCGCAAGCCAATCGCCCAAGCGGCTGCTGAGATATGAGCCTCTAAAAATCACTACTTTTGCAAAACAGCTTGAACACTGTTGGAATTTGTAAGATATCCACAAAGAAAATGGTTTGGGTTTTATAACAAGGGGACTTTTAGGAACAACAAGTAATAAACAGAGTTAGGAAAATGATAAGTTCATTTTCTTTGAGCGTTCATACAGAGGCCGGCCGGGCTTACCTTGAAAGTTGGCCTCTGTGAATATGTCCTTCACTGCCGACAAAACGTCTGTTTGGCTGTGTCGGTCGAAGTAGATAATTGTAGATCGTCTTAGGTAGTTCTCCACTCGGTGTATGTAGAACGTCCGTGGTAGATACTTGCGACTGGCGCGCACACGGCAGCTCACGGCAGCACTCACTCCGGCAGACAACTGGGCCGCCCGCCCCGTCCGCCCGTCCGTGGCGACCTCGGCCGGTCAAGCCCCCCGAGGCATTGGCAGCCCGCCAGCTCGGCGGTTCACCGCTGCCCCGCCCAGCCCGGCCCGGCCCGAACGCTCAACAGGGGAGGGGGAGGGGCGAGGTCAACCCGGTTATGTTTGTAGTATGAGGAATGAGGATAATGCTTAGGAATGAGTGCAAGCTGCCTGTGCAATGTGCATGTATAATTGTTTATGACGATATTCTGATGAATTTGCACACCCTCCCGCTGACAGATGCTAAACAGAGTTTAGCATCAGGTATGTTGGTGAAACGTGTCGGCTATATTCTTCCGTCTCGTACCAGAGACTTGACGAGATCAGCTTGCCGGATTGCTGCCTGCCGCGTTGGGCGTCTTGGAGCTTGCTCTTGCTGTGCTGCTGCGCCTTTATCCTCACGGGCTGGTTCAGCATCCTGTCGGGAGTTATCCTCAGTGACGTCTCGACCTGTGTGTGTGCTCTGGATCTCTAGTGGGTAGAGGTGAGCTACTGAGTACCTCTCTTTTCGCCCTGCGCTGGTCTTCAGGAGAACCTGACGAACCCTTCCGTCATCTCCATGGAGTAGTTGCAGAACTCTGCCCATGAGCCAGAACATCCTTGGTCTGTTCTTTGTGCTAATGAGGACGATGTCACCGACCGAGATCTTGTCTTTCCAGTCAGTTTGGAAGATGTCACGGGTGGTTTCACGGAGTCCCAGCAGGTACTCGCTGTGCCACATCTTCTTGTACTGGTCTTGAAGTCGTTGTTGTTCTTGAAGAGTGTTATTGAGCTGTTGATGTGTGTCATCTGGCGTGGAAGTCCAGAGTGGATCAGCATCTTCAGGGTACTCCGCCAGATGAAGCCTAGGGTTGGTGTGAAGTTTGAGAATCTTGTTGGGTGTCAGGGGTTCGATGTCGTCGATCCCGCTGTGGACGTACGTGATGGGCCGGCAGTTCACCATGTTCTGGATCTCCATCAGTTGAGTGAGAAGCTCAAAGTAGTCTAGCTTCGCCCTGCCCACTGACTTGTACAAACAGTGTTTCACCGTCTTGATTTGTCGTTCATACACGCCTCCAACCCAGCTGGCATACACTGGGATGGTGCGATGTTTGATGTTGTGCTGGGTGAGATGTTCTTGAAACTCATCAGAGATGAAAATGTTGTTGAGGACTCTCTGGCTGGCGAGAAACTGCTTCGCGTTGTCAGTGTACAGGAATTCTGGAACACAGTACGTGCTACAGAAACGCCTGAAGGACTGTAGGAACGACTTCAGGCTCAGATCCGGAACCAGATCCAGGTGAATGCAGCGGATAGCGAGGCACGTGTATAATACTACATACATCTTTTTCATGTCTCCGCCTTCGTCTTGCACAAAGATATGTCCGGTGTAGTCGATCGCGGTGTTGTTGAATGGTTTGATGAAAGAGAGACGCTCCTTCGGCAGGCTCGTCATCTTGGGGTAGTCGAACGCAAGGGCGTTGAGCTTTCTGCAGGTGATGCAGTCCTTGATGATTCGTTTCACAGCCTGACGTCCGCCTGGTATCCAGTGTCCACTCTCCCGCAACTCTGTCAGCGTCGTGCCGACACCGAGGTGCTTGCAGCGTCGATGCTGGTCGTTAATCATCAGTACAGTCAGCCGATGATCCTTGGAGAGAAGAACTGGGTTATGGACGGCGTAGGAGTATTTGTTGAGTTTTGATAGTCTTCCTCTACATCGTAGGGTTCCTGTTTCATCCAAGAAGCCGTTCAAGCTGGTCAGCAACTTGGGCACTATCGTTGACTTCGTTGTCTTGCCCTTCTCACGAGCCTGCAGGTAGCTGATCTCAGTGACGAAGGACTCTTCCTGCATCGTCTTCAGCCAGTACACCTTCGCCTGCTCCCTCGCATCTGCTTGCCTGTGCTTCAGCTTGTTGATGAACTGGAATACCATCGCTGTCACACCGTACAACCTCTTCAGTGATGAGAAGTCGTTGACGTTGATGATTGGCTGAGTTGATTGTTGCTCAGATGGTTCAATCGTGACTTGTTGACTCTGCAGATCAACCGCTCTCCTTGCTTCGTCTGACAGGCAGTAGAGTGGGCCTGTTGGCCACTGTCCTGACGTTCCACCAAGCCAGTCTGGTCCGTGTAGCCAGAGTGATGTTTTCTTGACAAACTCTTTCGCTGTCAATCCGCGGGTCAGCATGTCGGCCACGTTGGAGGTTGTAGCCACGTAGTGATGCGAGATGTCACAGTTGTATTGTTCTTGCAGCTTCAGCTTCATCGATGTTATGTCTTCCAGGCGATTGGAGGTGAACCTGCTCTTGGACTTGCAGCCTGAGGTCAACCACTCGAGGACAACCTGGGCGTCACTCCAGAGTCGCAAGTGATCGACAGTCATCTTGATTGAGTCGAGTATGAGCGGAAGACACTTCAGTGCAAGGAAAACTGCAAGCAGTTCCAGCTGCGGGATGCTCTTGTCGTCGGGTGCGAGTTTGCTTTTCGCGAAGACTAGCTGTGGTTCGGAGTTCTCCTGCTTCACGTAACAGGCGAACCCGTAGCACGTCTTGCTTCCGTCGCAGAAGAGGTGAAGCTCGGTCGGCTGTCCGATCTCCGTGTCACCAGTCTTCCTGGGAAACTTGATTTCACGCAGATAATTGAGATCATTCTTCAGCAGCTTCCAGTCTCTGTATACCTCCGGCGTAACTTCTTCGTCCCACGCCGTGCCGTCCTTCCAGACCTGCTTCATGAGAAGCCGTCCTCGGATAGTCACAGGTAGGGCCAGAGATAGAGGATCGAAGACCTTGCTGATATTACTCAGCAGCTGCCTCTTCGTGATTCCCTGAGGTCGCTCTTCGAAGCTGAAGTCGGCCAGTGACACTACATCTTGCTTGGAGTCGTAGAAGTATCCCAGTACCTTCTCGACGGGAGCGTCATGCTGATGGATGGTGTCTTCAGATGCCATGATGTCAACCAGCTGTGGGTGGTTTGACATCCAGCTGCGAAGGTTGAAGCCTCCTTCCATCATGATCTGTCGGCTGTTGTTGTAGATGTTGAAGAGTGTCTGTGGATCTGATGTTGAGAAGATAAAGTTGTCGACATACAGCGACTCCTTCAGTGCGGTTGCAGCCACTGAGCTTGAGTACCTTTCCAGGTGGAGTTGGATGATGTGATTCAGGATGAATGGAGAACAGTTGAGTCCAAACAGGATGGTTCTGAAGCGGTAGGTCTTGATGCCTTCATCAGTCTGTCATAGGAAGCAGAACCTGTCTTTGTCCTCCTCGTGCTTCAGATAGACCTGAAGAAAGGCCTTTTCGATGTCGGATAGGAGAACGTAGTCATTCGTACGGAATCTCAGCAGGAGCGTGACGAGATCGTTGAGAAGGTCGATTCCTCGGAAACAGGCTTCGTTCAGAGATGGTTTGTCTCCAATCTTCAAACTACAGTTGAAGACGGGTCGCACCTTCGTCGTTGTTTGAGGGTCAGTCTTCACAACAGGATGATGTGGAATGAAGACCCGCTGGTTGGATGTCGCTTGCTCTGGAACAACCTCTTCTATGATGCCATCACGAAGCTGTTGTTCGAAGACCGCTGTGTAGGCGTCAGCCAGGTCACGTTTGTTCAGTTTCTCACGCACTTTCTTCATCGTTGCCAGTGCGACTTCGTAGTTTCCTGGAACGTCCTTGACGTTGTCGTAGAATGGTACTTTGATGTAGTATTTGCCATCCTTGAATTCAACTTCTTCTGTGAACTTCTCCACCAGCTGGCGTTCCTGAGATGAGACGCTCTCGTTGACCTCTCTGATGCCCAAACTCTCGATGCTGAACAAGTGTTCTATCTGAAGGTCAACGTCACTGTCGCTGGACGTGTGAGCAAGTGGATGAAAATGTGATGTCTTCGGATACAACACTGCTTGGACCAGAAGACTTGTTGGTGGCTCGGTGGGCTCAGCTGCACTAGATGTGTTGCTGAGTGAAGAAGTCTGTACGTCTTCTGAGGCCGCCAACAAACGATCAGGCACCTGAAGTTCCGTTGTCTGGGACGCCTCTGATGAAATCGGTGCTGGGGTTGTTTGTCGTTTGATTGTTGATGTTTGTTGGGCCCCACTGTTGATGTATGTTTGAGTCTGCGTTTGTGTTTGGTTTTGTGTTTGAGTTTGAGTTTGACGTTCGTTTGTTTGTAGCGAGTGTGTTTGTGTTTGTTGTTCGTGTGTTTGTTGTTTGGATGTTTGTGTTTGTTGTTCAAGCGCGATGCTTGAACATCCAACGTCCAGCATCTGCTCCTTCATGCTGTGCAAATCATCATGTTCGCCGCTCGGAGCCGGTGTCTGAGACCTGTGAGTGATGCAGGCGTCGTTGTTGCTTTTGTGGGTGCATCTGCTGTCCTCCAGCAGACGCGTTGACCGTCAATAGGAGGCGTTTCCGCGATGACGGCTGCCGGCATCGGCTTCGTCATCCCCTGCCGGTGCTGAGGTGTCGTGCCGGTCTTCTTGATGCTCATCGGTGCTGTCTTCATGTTCAGCCACTCCCTCCTGGCTTCCTCCGCTGTAGAAGCTGTCGATGTCGCCGAAGAGGATGTGTCCATCTTGCACCTCCAAGGCAGTGCCCAGTCCGAGGTCCACGCTCCTCAGAGGTTTGAGCGCACCTATGACGTCAGACCCCAGGAGGCAGTCGAAGTCGCCGATCGTGTCGGAGGTGATGTCGTTGAAGAAAGAATCCGCTAGGCGCACGCCGTCAGTCTTCAGCTTGTGCACCAGAGACTTCACACCTGGAATGTCATAATCCAAGTTCATATCGGGATCCACCAAGAAGCTGTGTCTTGCTGTTGCCGTCGGAGTGAAGATGACGTCACAAGTGGCAGAGCTGTAACTCTGCTTCTTGACGCCGATGCAGGTCTTGACATTGTACTCTGTCGTCGGTGAGTTTGAGTTGAATCCTAGCCGAGCTGCCAGGTCTTCACTGATATTTGATGCTTGAGAGCCGAAGTCAATCATGCATCTGACTCGTTCACAGATCTCGCCATTGTTGACCTGCATGATGACTGACATCGACGGAAGTAGAACAGTCTGACCTTTGTGTAGGTTGTTGCACATGAGACGCAAGCCGCTCTGTATCTGGGTGTGATCGGCGGTCTTAACAACACACACAGCCGAGATGTGATGTTTGCTGCTGCAAATCGTGCAGGGATAGGTGAGTCCAGCTGACTGGGCCTTACACTCAGCTATCTTGTGGGCCCCGCTGCATTTGGTGCAGAGGTCGAGATCCTTCAGTCTCCTGATTCTTGATTGTGGAGTTGTGTATACTGTGCACTTGAGCATCGAATGTGAACCTGCACACAGCTTGCACGCTCTGAATTTGGAGTCGGGTTTGGACGCTGCAGATCCTGTCGGCTTACTGACGCTCTCTGTGCCCGTCTGGAACCTCTGCAGTGTCGACTTCACAGATGACGATGTAGACTCATCAAGTTGATGCTGTCCGTGAGGGTGACGAGTCCTTGGAGGCTTCGGTTTTGCTCCTTGATGCTCTTGGACTTGCTTCACCTCTTGCTGTTTCGCTGGTGTTGATGTCTTCATCAGTGACTTGATGATCGTGTTGTAGTTCTCCAGCAACTCTCTCGTTGAGGGGAAGTCCGTCTGCAGGGTGGTGCTCAGCTTCGACTTGAAGTTCGTCGGGAGTTTCTGACAGATCATGTAGCTGACGATCTTGCTGCCGAGAGTGTCGTCCTGAAGAGCATCGAAGCCAAATGCCTTCAATTCATACACTGAGGTACGTGCTGTGTTGAAGAACGACCGTAGAGCGGTAAAGTCCTTTGCTGGCGGTGAAGTGAGCTCGTGCAGCCTCCTGATGTGCTCTTCAACCACGATATCATTGTCCAGGTACTCTTCCTTGAGGAACACTCTGGCCAGCTCGTAGCTCTTCTCGTCGTTCGACAGGTGCTTGATTGTGTCCAAGGCATTTCCTCTTAAGTAACTCTTCAGATACATCAGTTTCGCCGTGTTGCTGTCGGCGCTGTTGTTTCCGATGAGGTCGTCGAACATGTTCAAGAAGTCGTTGAAGGAGATGACGTTATCCTGTGACCCCGAGAACAGAGGCATCTTCAGTTTTTGGATGTCTGGTCGCTTGATGCTTGCTGTGTCGACTGAAGTTTGTTCTTCCTTCACGGCCTTGGAGCAGTTCTTCATGAAGTTGAAGAACGTCTTCTTGGAGTTGGAGAAACTGTCATACACCTCTGATATCCACGGCTCTTCACCATCCATCTCTTCTTCTGAGGTCAGAAGCGATACATACTCGATGTGCTTGGACTCAACGTCTGACCATGCTTCCTGCAGCTCCTTCCAGCAATCCTGAACCAGACCAGGTTCCGCTTCATCAGCGATCTGCTTCAGAAGATTTCTGTTGATCCTGGTGAACGCGCGCTTGCCGTTGGAGCGGGCAACCCTCAGTTTGTCCATGTTCGTTACCCTGAGAAGAACGACTGGTGTTGAAGAGCGACAGCAACGGTATCCTCACGCTGAAGACGCTGCCGCACTCTGTAGAACGCGTTGAACTGCTGATGTAGGATGACAGCAACGGTATCCTCACGTTGAAGACTCTGCCGCACTCTGAAGAACGTGATGAACTGCTGATGTTGTAGGATGACAGCAACGGTGTCCTCACGTTGAAGATGCTGTTGATGAACACGCTGAAGGCACTCAAAACCTCACAGCCGCTGAGACCGATTCGCCTGGGTACGGCGTGTTGTATACCAGTAGCCAGCTGCCAGTAGGTACTATGTGTGTAATCTCAGCAGTGCTAGTGAATGTTTATAATTGTACGACCGTGTTTATCAGTTGTCAGGTTTGTCAATAGTTTTTCAGCAATAACAATATGTGCACGGTTTTACGTTCAGTTTGCGAGACGATTCGGCTTCGTGTAATATTCACAGTTTTTCTATGTTGGAATTTGTAAGATATCCACAAAGAAAATGGTTTGGGTTTTATAACAAGGGGACTTTTAGGAACAACAAGTAATAAACAGAGTTAGGAAAATGATAAGTTCATTTTCTTTGAGCGTTCATACAGAGGCCGGCCGGGCTTACCTTGAAAGTTGGCCTCTGTGAATATGTCCTTCACTGCCGACAAAACGTCTGTTTGGCTGTGTCGGTCGAAGTAGATAATTGTAGATCGTCTTAGGTAGTTCTCCACTCGGTGTATGTAGAACGTCCGTGGTAGATACTTGCGACTGGCGCGCACACGGCAGCTCACGGCAGCACTCACTCCGGCAGACAACTGGGCCCCGTCCGCCCGTCCGTGGCGACCTCGGCCGGTCAAGCCCCCCGAGGCATTGGCAGCCCGCCAGCTCGGCGGTTCACCGCTGCCCCGCCCAGCCCGGCCCGGCCCGAACGCTCAACAGGGGAGGGGGAGGGGCGAGGTCAACCCGGTTATGTTTGTAGTATGAGGAATGAGGATAATGCTTAGGAATGAGTGCAAGCTGCCTGTGCAATGTGCATGTATAATTGTTTATGACGATATTCTGATGAATTTGCACAACACCCTTGACTTTTCACGTGGCACGTGCCACGACGGTCACTGAGATGTATCAACAGTAGTCAATTACGGGGTAGAAGGGATGGGGCTACCCAATAAAAAAGACCGCAGGCCAATCGGTCCAGCGGTTGCTGAGATATAAGCCTCTCAAAAGCGTTACAGGCCGGGCCGGGCCGGGCCGGGCCGGGCCGGGCCGGGCCGCTCATACTGAGATTTTTCCGTTATATTGAAAAGACTCGCTTCGCTCGCTGCGCTCGCTCGCTCGTAATCAGTATTGTCTTGATGTGATAAAGATACTCATTAGGAGTTCAGAGTAAAATGGAACAATATGATAAGAAAATGGCACCTACGTATATGGTACTGTATGTGTGAATATATGATAATCCGGAAATATAGCAATAAAAATGTTGATGGGATTGCGGAAAGACGTGAAGGGAAGCTTGTAATTGTACGGCATAATGCATGCCAATGTGGAGCAAGGCCAAACAGACCACGTAAGAGTAATACGAGGGGCGTTCAAAAAGTTCCCGGCCCAACCATGAAGGAGTTGGAATTTCGGCCTGCAACGCGGTGTGTTCAATGATGTGTTATTGGGATGTCCACTTACGTAGCCATTAACCAATCTGCCCTGTGATTGGTTCAGGCTGCTAATTAATCGTAACATAGTTTGCCATTCCCGGTCAGAATGGGCGACGCCCAGAAGAAAACAGTGATTTGGTTCATGCATTGCAGAAAAATGCACTAAACGTTATTCACGAAAAGCTAGTGCCAACACATGTTGAGGTTTGTCTTTCATACAGTAGCGTCAAAAAGTGGGCATCTCTGTTCAATTTTGGTCAATGGATCATTAATGGTCACCCCCGCAGTGGCCAGCCATCAACAGCATTGACTCAAGAAAATATGAAAAATAGGCACTTCTTTGTGAAAAATGACAAATGCTCTGGTCTGGAACAACGCAGCAGAAGTGGAGGTGTCTATAAGGTTCCTCAAAGCCATTCTCCGACAGCGTATTAATATGTTTAAGATCTCTGCAAGATGCATCCCCCGTTTGCTGACTCCAGAGGAAAGGCAAGCTCGAAAGGAGGCGTAACGCGAAAATTTTGGTCCCTATATCGAAGATCCAAAAGAGCTCATTGAACTACTTGTTACCGTGGAGGGATTGTGGGTGTCACACGTTGACCCCAAGGGCGTGACCGAGTTGCACAAGTGGAAGCACACTGAGTAAAGGCCACCAAATGTGTGCGACGTGTTTAAGTCAGACGGCAGGGTGACAATGGTTGCATTTTGGGAGCCTGGCGGGGCTCTGCTCGTCAACTTTCTAAAACAGGGGCGCACAATTAATGATGAATACTACACCTTCCTTCGATAACAGTAGCGAGCAGCAGATATCAAGGAGAGACTAGGGAAGCTGACTAAAAGTGTGCGCCTGATCCAGGACCACGCACCAGCACACATGAGCAGGGTGACGATCAGCGAAGCAGTGAGCTCTGGCCTCGAGTTGTTGCCACAGCCACTTTTTTCTCCGTACCTTGCACCCTCAGGTTGCCACCTCTTCAGCAACATAAGGAAATTGCTTAGCAGTGGCAACTTCGCTGACAGCAAGGAGATAAAAGCAGCCGTCTTGGACGTGCCAGATGCGTCCAAAACCCACTTGGCTATGGAGGCCCAGGGGCCTCTCGCGAAGCGCTGCGCGAAATGTTTTTGTCTTAACGCTGGTTATTTGACTAAATGAACATTTTTGGTCTTATAAGTCGACATCGTATCTTTGCTCCTTCATGGTCGGGCCGAGAACTTTTTGAACGCCCCTCGTAGTAGCGGACTCGATCCCCTTTGGCAGCATCATGGCAGACCCTGCCCAGCTCTACTGGCAGGGAGCCATCAAACCCAGATCACCAACGTCATGGCGCATTAGGAACTGAGAAGGAGGGGACGTGGAAAGTCCGCACCGAGCGTGTCAAGGCTGGTGTGATCTAATGTGTGAACTGAGGGCGCCAGACGCAAAACGAACGCGTTATGTAACTGTCCCGATGCTGCCTCTGCAGCAAAGTTCGGGTAAGGTTGCATAATCGTGCTATTCCGCTCACGCTTTTCCAGTTCTTGTTTGTATGAAGGTATACCAAAAATAGCAAGCGGTCGTCGGAGAACAGGATGCTCTGTTCAAAGCCAGCCGCCATCTTTTGCAGTATGAACAGCCTGCGTGGCATGACAGGATCCATGTATCGATGACGTCATTAATCGCGTGTTGGTGCGTCTGGAGAAATAGCACGGATTTTCTCAGGCGCCACTGCTATTGGCAATGCATGATAACAGCCAATGTTGTGACAACCAACAGACGCATGACTGGAGAGTCTGGGATTTCGCAGAACTCCATGGCGTTTTCTGATCGGGTCAGACACTGTGGATCCGGCTAGGTGGCAAATCGGAACAGCGCTGGTCGAATGATACCCAGTAAGGCTAGGTGCAGTATCCAACAATGCTAGCATGGATCCGGCTATTTCAGCCTGCTTTTAATTGCAGTTTATACTGAAGCTGACCAGACGTCCAGGTAATCGGTCAGAACAGACTACCTCACAGAGCAGAATGCTCAGCTTGTTTCGAAACGGGTCAATGGCAGGCATCAGACGGCCTACGAAACGGGTCGCCGCAAACAAACAAAAAGTCACTCTGCCCAGCGGCTGGATTGGAACACCAAACGTTCGTGCCAAAAGAAACGAGTATGCATTCGCTGGGTCTATTAGACTCTATTTACTCTCCTTGCGTCATTTGCATGTCATAAGACCCCCGTATAATATTGAATCCGGGTATAAAGTGGTCCTAAAAAGGCGATGTTTTGTCTGCATATGCATACATAGTCGGGGGTAACCACACCACCTTTAGAATGCTGCACATCCGTCTATAGCGATTATTCCACGACCTCTCACCCTTGCCCTTGGTGCTCTTATTGTCTGCCTCCGTGACGTGCTTACCTAAAATGTACCTACCCTCAGATGATTGGTGCTTGGCTACTTTAAGTACGAAGCGCGGTCAAGACACAAATGAATTTCGACGCTGCACGTCCTTTCGAAAGAAAATTGCAGATGCGCAAGCAGTAATGGCCACACAAGACATCCGCACTCTAGTTACATCCGCTGTGATTAAAAATAACACCGATTACCTAGTGGAAAGGTTTCTCCCTTACAATTTCGATGTTGTCTGAGACTTTTTGGTGAATCATCAGTACATCCGTGTCCGTATCACCACAGCGTGTCACGTGACTCGTCCTAGCGTGTCACGTGACACGTCATAGCGTGCCCTTACACGATGGGTCCGTCTGTGAGGTAATCTCCGGCCCGGCCGCAGAAGAAGAGGAGTGCGTGAGGACCATCCAGGATGTTTGCGGCCGGGGTGGGAGGTCGCCGTGGGATTATCCGCTCAATGCAGGCTCGTCTGCATGCTGTGATATTCAGACAAACGCCTTATGGA